CACCTCTCCTCTCATAATGGCAGAGTCGCCTGCGGTATGACCCCACTTAATTGCTGGCTGGCTGCCTTCTGACCTCTTATCGATTACGCTGTTCAACCTCCTATCATGCTATAACACTACTCGAAAAATATGAATACGGAAGTGTGAAGACTGAATGAGTATTAAGTTTCAAATCGATGATTAAAAAGTTTAAAAGGAAAACATTGTGGAGAACATTTCCCCAACTCGGATAGAAAGTTTCTATTTGCGTTTATAGACGATATATATAAAGAGATTACCGCCTTCAAGCGGGTCATTCGTTGAATGTGACCGTCAGAGCTTTTAATTATCCTAGATGTCTTCCTTATCCTAACACCTGATAAAAAGGTCATCGTTAAAAAGGATTCAAGGGCGCTTCTTGACAACAACCAGCAGTACTGCTTTATGCCACTCTGCCATTATAAACAATCGGTCATCGAACATGAGCCCTCTCTTCACTGCGGGCTCCGCTACAACCCTCTCCAGCGAAAAAGCCCTTCTCTACCCTTTTCTCTGTCCCTCCTCTTACCCGCACATCCGCACCGTGATCTAATTAATTCAAACTCCGTGAAAGTGTTCCACTGTGTTCAATCAACTAAGGAGATATGCCGCCTAGTGCTTGACATTCACAACCACACACCCAAAACATACGCACGCCACCAATACGTTTTTTTTGGAAGAGCGGAAACAAATCATCCATGCTGTTTTTGAATGTTTTTGTCAGCACATTATATTCGTTTTCAGTGGTTGAGGTGTCAGTCAATATAAGCAACAGAATGTGCCCCCCCCCCAACTCCTAACCATAAGCCTGATAAGGTTTTTCGCAGCCAAGCCCGCCTGATTTCTGAAACCATGTTCACATTTGGCACATGAATGCTACCGGGCAGCACTCCACAACCAACCATTGGATCGCTACAGATCTTCAAAGTACGCCCCTTATCCCTAACTCAGAGTAGGCGTGGCATTTGAACATGGTACGGAATTGGTTACTCGTGGAATATTCCAGTCTGGGACAACTGTCATCTTGTTCTGTGCTGGGCAGAGACACGACAACAATTGTGTCAAGATGAAAATATCTCACCAGAAGCATAGACAACTTCAGGTTAAGTTGGAGCATGCGGCCACGCCCACCCGATCTCAGGGAATTTCGAGTATAAGTCTATGCTGCCCACGAAAGTGGCAATGGTTCCAACTGCTTTTGCGGTTGGACGCTAATTGCCTCAACTGCGAATGCAGCTTGAAGTTACGATGCTCAAATCGCCGCACCTCGATGTTACGAAGCATGAACGCGATCTGAAATTACAACCCTGTGCTCTTTCGCGAATGCAAAGATGACATGCGAAGATGCTCATGGCTGGCATTTCATCCTAACTACAACATTTTCTTAGAATCATGATTTGCTTGCGAGCTAGAATCGTAGCCTCGGCATAGACACCTTCCGCTACCTGCACTCCACTTACCAGTACCATTCTGCCTCCTCTTCGGTGCTGCAGCCGACTATACGTTAGAACGTTCATACTTTGCACCAATGTTTGAACTTCCGAGCGCTCCCAGCAGTTGGAAACGCCTGGCGGATCACTCAAAGACGCTAGATCGATACCTTTCTTCCTTGGTCGCTCAAAGACGCCTAAATGAAATGTATTGAATGAACTTTCCCCAGCATATAATCCACGGAGCTTGTAGTTGTGACTCAACCTATTTTCTTCCCACCAAGTGCTTCCTTCATACACTTTTCCACAATATTAGCATGCAATTTATTGCAAATAATTTTCTAATAAGGTATTATGAGTGGCCTGTAACATACATTCACTCGGTTTATACAAAATGAAAACAAACAACAGAAATATACCGGTAATAAGAAACACGGAACAAACCGATGGTAAACGATGGCACTATGCAACAGGACAAGGGGCCAACTCATGACACACTACGGGGGTTGCACATAGCGCTATACTGGTCAGTAAAACGAGTGAAAGAGTGGCGATTCATACGCCATTTCAAACAGCCGCACTCATTCCGCAGTTGGCAGCGTTGTTGACATCGCCGCTGCCGAGATCGGGCGTCGGTGCTTCTTTTTCGCACTCAGCTTGACGTCTCATTCCAGGCTTCGCTTCATCATCTTGAGTATTTTCCGACTCGGCTGCCTGTCCAGAATCCGACGCATTGAGACTCTGTAACAAAGATCCGAACGTTAGGGTAAAGATATGCTGTAACCTCACCTTCAGGGATCTTGCCATGTGCGAGGTGGAATAGGCTCGCGATTCTAAAAGAACTGTGTCACTTTCACCACCACAAAAGGCGGAAGTGAAGACACCACTCGCTATTCACAACAAGCGGTATGTGCGCCGATTCCGAGGCCGGCGGTACAGTAGGAACAGCTGCCTATCGTGATCAAGGGTAGAGACCAACTAAATCGAAGAGGGCGAGACAAGTAGTGTTTGAGGCTAGACTTGCGCGCATCCCTGGTCGTCCGGTTCTGTTGCGCATGACTTTGGCTATGGATTGGGTCCGGAACGACACCTGGCTATCACTACCTTCAGTCTCATTTCAGCGCCCTTTCGAATGACAAAAGTGACACACTTCTACAGCTGCAGAGCCGTTCAGCTCGCACATGCCAAGGATCAGGACATACGGAGGCGAGCGTAAGCTTATCTCCAAACGTGGTAACAAAATGTTCATACTTTGCGATAGCGTTTTGAGTCTTGAGCCTTTTGAGCGACAAGGAAAGTATAAATATGTATGCCTTTCGATCGTACGCCTGCATACCATGGTGTAAGGTCAAATGCTGGCGTGCGCTCAAAACGGTTCAATACTTATCCCTTCTTAGTCGCACAAAACGCTCAAGACGCTGGCGTATGCTCAAAACGCTGACGCAAAGTCTGCACACTCTCTATGGTGACCAGTTCGGCCAAAGGCCATATGCGCGTATGGTCGCAGTTCTGCAACCATCGCCTGAACTGTTAAACTCGGCTAGTGCACCATAGCAACAGAATCGTATTTCTAGGTTCACTTTCGAAAGTAGAGGACAACGGAGGTTCCGTGACTGTTTTCTACAAGTGACTCATCATCACCTATTTCTGGGGTGAACGTCGGAAAGATCTCGAAAAGGTAAACGATCATATGTGAGTACCACAACAAAGTATGTGAAAGCAGGTTCAGAACTTGCTGCACAATGTGGAATGCTGTCTCTATCAGAATGCGTAGTCGTACCTCAATTTCAGGTCCTCCTTCACGTTTAGGCTCGTTCTTGCTCTGGCGTCTAAAACGACGATTGAAGTAGTTGCCACGGCGTCTTGGACCGCTTGGCTTCCCCGTTGTAGTGCCGGTAGCTTCAGCATTTGTTGTCACCTGTCCATCAGTGGCAGGTACTGTACCGTTTGCTTCGTCTGCTGGCGGTTGTCGGTTACGACGTCCACGGAAACGGCGACCCTGCCCTGTAATAGTGCATCAGTCTCCTACGTTTATTAGTGATGTTAAAGGGTGACAGACACTGCGATTGTCATCCCTTCATTGCAAGAAGCGGTTCATGAATGACTGCTACTAGGATGAAGCAAAAGCCAACTTACTTCTTCCTCTGAGTGGTT